TCTAAGAATTTTAGAAAAACTTTAACAAATCTGAGGTTCAAATGTCAAATTAGATTTATAAAATCTTAAATTAAGTTCCTGAACACACTTAGCAATACATTTTCGTCTGTATTCCTCCGTGCTCCTACTGTTCTCGGAGATCTCGTCGAGGCACTCGGGACTACTAATTGATCATGCTAAGCAATAGCCTCTTAACTTAAAATAATATAAAAATAAAGTTACAAGATGAACACAGATCTGTAAAAATAACTCTGAAAACTTAAATCAAATAATCAAAATCATAAATCAAAACGTATAAAAGATAGCTAAATAACATGAGATAGCTCGGCAAATCAACTCATCAAGATTCTTAATTGGATCCCTCAGAATACTAAGAAAGTTTTACCCCAACATAGCTCTGATACCAAAAAGGGGCGGAAACGGGAAGATCGCCGGCTTTGGGGTTACAAAGAACTTATTTTTATATTTCAATAATCTTAATAATGAACAGAGTTCATTCGCGGAAGTTGGTGGAGAGGATACTGCAAATTTTTGTAATTTGGAAACACCACTTAAATTATTTGAGCTCAATCCTTTTAAAGTAACTCCACCAATACATGAGCCTTTACCTACCCCTAGATCATTCTCTGAACTCGAGATGATCTATCCTAATATTGAAGAACAACTCGCCGAGTTAGATTATCCACGACTCAAAAAGATGGCCGCAAAAGCACAGTGCTTATGCGTCTGTATCCTCATCCTATCTACCACCAAATGAACCTGTCATGGGTCTGGTAATGTATCCACCTGCCATTTCTGGAGCACAGGCGGATCCCTCTTCCTCCTGTTCAAATAATTTTCAGAACCTAAGGTCAAGAACTTCTGATTTCAAAAGATCTTACCAGCAAAACATGTGGACTCTGCCTTCAGCACAGAATGCTCATGGCGTCATGCTAGTATTACCAGATGATTTTTCATTTTATGATGATGTTATCTTCAGATGGGAATCCATCACACTAAATCTGGTAAATGATAAGCAGTTCGCAGATAATAAATCCAAAGTTCTGTTTATAGAAAACCTGCTGGGAGAAGTCGAAAAGAAGATATGGATTCAATGGAGGATGGCTTATGAGAACGAATATGAAGCTGTAATTAACATTGCAGACGATCCTCAGAATGTTCTATCTGCTATCCGAAGAGTAATTTTGTTAGAAAATTCATATCAAGGTTCTACAGATGAACAAAATAGAGTCTATCTTGATCTGGAAAGATTAACATGTTCGGAAATAATGAACATATTCGAATATATGAATGATTACAAGCTCCTTGCGGCAAAGTCTGGACGTATGTATATAAGTCCAGAATTATCTGACAAATTCTTCAGAAAAATGCCTCAAATTATCGGCAACGAGATTGAAGAAGCATTTAAGAAGAAATACCCCGAAAATACAGTAGGAGTTATGCCAAGGATAATATTCACTTATCAATATCTTGCAGAACTATGCAAGAGGGCTGCTGTACAGAGAGGAATCAAAGACCTTTCACTTTATAAGAAAATTCCAGTACCCAGTTTTTACAATCAGCATAAGAAGTATGGCTTGAGGAAGTCAAAGAATTACAAAGGAAAGCCACACGACTCTGATGTTCGTGTAATTAAAAATAAGAACAAGCTAAAATCTTTCAAGTGCAGATGTTACATATGTGGTGATGAGGGGCACTTTGCTAAAGAATGTAAGGGCAAAAGAGGCAACATGGCAAGGGCAGCTACTCTGAACAATCTTGAGCTGCCAGAAGATTATGACGTTCTTTTTGTTGATCTTAATGAAGAATCATCGGACGCTATTTGCTCAATTTCAGAGGGTGAATGAGCCAACACACTTACCCACGTCCGCAGTCTTGAGAACTGTCCAATAGAAGAATTTGGACTAATGATGAAAGAAGATTACGGATCGAGATGTCTGGTCAAATTGAAGGAAGATCAGGAGAAGTGCTCGCATCAATGGGAGCATAACAAACCTTTGTATTATTAATAACATGAAGTCAATATTCTCGCTGTTCTTATTGCTTTATCATTACAAATTCTAGCATGAGAATACATTGTGTGATATGCAAATTAACTGTTTGTCCACCGTGTGTCAAGTTTTACCTGACGATAACAGTTCAAAAAGAATTATCCTTATTACAATTTCAATCAAAGGAAAATTTGATTCATGAACTGGTTAAATATACGGAACACTTGATTGAGGAAAATAGAAGGCTAAAAGAACAACTTCAGCAAACAATTAGCAGAAGATTTGCAGGAACTCACCCTATGAGATAAGGGTAAAAAGATTGTCACATTCGAGGATGAAGAAGATGATCCAGAACAGATTAAAGAACATGGAGCGCAAATGTTCTCAGAAACACTAAAGGAGCAAGTATTGAAGACTCTGAAACGGATCATCAATAAATTATTTAATTTAACAATTACTTTTGAAATCCCAGGTGTCGATAGATTCAGATTAAAAGCGATACTTGATACTGGAGCAACATCATGATGTGCAAGCATCAGTGCCGTCCCAAAAGAGGTACTCGAAGAGTTAAATTACCAAGTTACATTTAGTGGAGTTAATTCTATCACTAATTCTGCTAAAAAAAATGAAGGACGGTAGAATGTATATATCTGAACATAGTTTGAGAATACCATTGATTTACTGCCTATCGATGGAAATCAATGATGGTATTCAGATTTTAATAAGATGTAACTTTATAAGAAGCATGCATGGATGCATGCGGATAGAAGGAAATACGGTTACATTCTATAAAGATATAACACATGATGATACTACAATTGACGTGAAAGTTGCAGCCAAACAGATTCCTGAGTTAGAAATTAACTATGATTTCTACAATGAATTACAGCCGGAATCACTTTACTCAAATATAATTTCTAACAATGAAAACTCTTTTGTTAGAAAATTCAGGGCTTTATTCAACAGGCTGCAGGAAAACGGATACATAGGGGAGAATCCTCAGAGGCATTGGCTTAAAAACAAGGTAAATTGTAAAATTGATATAATTAATCCTGACCTTACAATTCAGAATAAGCCTCTTAAACATGTAACTCCCGCTATGCAAGAACAGTTTAAGCGTCATATCGATGCTCTTTTGAATTTGAAGGTAATAAGACCAAACAAGAGCAGACATAGAACAATGAGCATAATTGTGAATTCAAGTACAACAGTTGACCCGAAAACTGGAAAAGAAACACGAGGAAAGGAACGACTTATGTTCAATTACAGATCTTTGAACGACAACACTCATAAAGATCAGTATTCGTTACCCGGGATCAATACACTGCTTAAGAAGATCAGTAATAGTCAAGTTTATTCTAAATTTGACTTAAAAAGCGGATTTCATCAGGTTACCATGCATCCTGATTCAATTGAATGGTCAGCCTTCACAACACCAACAGGGTTGTATGAGTGGCTAGTCATGTCATTCGGGATGAAAAACACACCAGTCGTTTTCCAAAGGAAAATGGATTTTTGTTTTGATAAATGCTCTAACTTTCTTGTTGTGTATATTGACGACATAATTATTTTCAGTAAAATAAAGCTGAGCACAATGTGCATTTGGAAAAATTTCTTGCGATAGTTGAGACAGAAGGATTGGTGCTATCTCCAACGAAAATGAAGATAACAGTAAGTAAAATTGAATTTCTGTGAGCAATTATTGGAAAGAGAAAAATTAAGTTACAGCCTCATTATTAGGAAAATATCTGATTTTCCTAAAGAAAAATAAGGAATGAGGTATTGGCTTGGTATTCTCAATTATGCACGAAGTTACATTCCAAATCTTGGAGTTCTCCTAGGACCGCTGCATCAGAAAACATTTTCTCATGGAGATAAGAGGCTAAAAGATCATAATTGGGCGCTTATCAGAAAAATCAAAGACTTAGTTAAAAAATTGTCTGATCTAGAGATTCCTCCCAAAAATACCCATATCATTCTTGAAACAGATGGTTGTATGGAAGGATGGGGAGGAGTGTGCAAATGGAAAATGACTAAAAATGATCCTCGATCTTCTGAAAGAATATGTGTATACAACGATAAAATCTACTATTGACGCAGAAATCTATGCCTGCATAGAAAGCTTGAACTCTTTAAAAATTCACTATCTCGACAAGCCTGAAATCATTCTTCGAAAAGACTGTCAACCCATAATCTCTTTCTATAATAAGACAGCTCAGAACAAACCATCTAAAGTTAGATGGCTTGCATTTACTGACTTCATCAACGGGCTGGGAATCGTCGTTCAATTTGAACACATAGACGGAAAAAACAATGTTCTTCCCGACTCACTCTCCCGACTAACATTTATTTTAATTGTCGAGCAGGAAGAAAGCGTTAATTCTCTATTTGCAGGAGAAGAATGGACGCTCGAAGCTCAAACTCTAAAGGAAAGAATCCTATCAGAGAGGACGAATATTCAGAAATTGCATCGAATACTTATCAGTGGACACGAAAAGGAATACATGACCGTCGATGGAACCACAACATCCACAAGGTGAAATCTTGGTCGTCCACGTTGAGTAGAATTACAATGAGATATATATAATATAAAGTACGACAAAAGATAAGGCAAGAAAAGTTCTGATCTTGGAATAACTCTAATTAAAAAGCTTAAAACCAATTTGATTAAGAAACTAGCTGGAGTTGTTATAAGAAAATAAGGAAATTAAGAGCCATAAAACGTCCTTTCATTTAAAGTTCTGCTATATATCTTTCCCTACTGATCTTACTATTCACACACACAGAGACACGATAAAGTGTGCATACAAATACAAAATAAATGCTGCCCAAATAGTTATGGTTTTTTAATATGGAAATAGCATCCTACCTTGCTATCTACCTGCCCAATAATGGGAAAAAAATGAATCAAGAAAAGCAACCATACAAAATGAAAAAAAAAGATATTATTGAGTTGAAGAACATTAGGGAAGGAGCAAAATTAATAAATTGTTGAACATACAAACTTACCAATGTTATGTGCTCAAATGAAAGGTAGCCCTTTTCACCAAAATTAAATTTTGTGTCAGCCTCTTTCACCACAAGAACATTTTCCAATCTTATACCAAAGTTTCCATCCTCATAGTAACCAGGCTCTGAAAGTGATATTAATACATTAGAGAAAATGCATCAAAATAATCACAAATTGCAGCATATTTACGTACGAAACTAAAGGGTATCAATTTGAATTTCAACGGAATAGGGGGAGTCAGCTGGGAAAGGGAGAGAGAGGGGTGCAGAGAAAAATAGGAACCTCCAAACAATTTTCATAAAAACAAGTTCTTGCAATTAGCCTATAATATTAACATAAGGCACCAATAACGGAAGCAAATTAAAAGCAAAAAAGTTAAAAATCTACTAGCTATTCATGAACGCATAACTATAAGGATCAGAAAATACTTTAAAATAATTAAAAAGGTTAACAGAGAGTAAAAAAAGGCAAGAAAAGGGTAACGCGTCACTAACCATCAGTAACAGTCATTGATGCTTGCAAGGGAACATTCCGAGCATGATGTCTAAAACTTATCAAATGAGGCCCTGCATGAAATAAACATAATTATCGAAATAAATAAGTTAGCATAATGCAGATAAAACGCTGTAGGCGATATAAAAGCAGTTGTAGTCTCACCTTCGTGAACATTAAGGTAACATCCAACCCCATGCCCAGTACCATGTCGATAGTCGAGTCCATTTTTCCATATTGGAATCCGTGCGAGAATATCAAGAGCATGCCCTATCACAAGCACACATGGCGTTTCACATACTGAGAATATTGACAACATAATTATTTAACATTTAAGACATACCAGTTGTTCCATTAGGAAACACTGCATTACCTAAAGCAATATGACCTTTAAGGACCTATGCAAAACAAAAAAAAAAAACAGCATTGCAGCATTGCTCAAATTCTATAAAAATTCTATAAATCATACTATGCATATATCCAAAATGGATGAGCTCAGGTTAATTAAAACATGTATTCAGAAAAGAGGTAGCCTTATTTCACCAAAGTTAATATTTTATCATCTACTTTCAGACGATAACATTTTCCAAACTAATACTGAAGTTTCCATCCACATAGTAAACAGATTATGCTAAAGATACCAAGACATCGGAGGCAATGAATGATAGTATTCACAAATTAAGATGAAAGAGATAGGGAACGTGAAGAGATATGAAAACTTCCAAACAATTTAATAAATTCCTACCCTCACTGCAGTTATTTGACAAACGAAACCATTATAAGACACCGGTTGAAGTGAGAAAAAATTCTGCATTATAGACCAACATTGCCCTTAAAACAGATAAATAAAAGACAATTAAACATTTCAAGAACATGCAATACATATTAAATGAAACCATGTTTAGCATGATAGACTTTACTAGAGCATGAGAAAACAGATTATTTGATTGTGGCATGTGTGATGCCAACCGCCAACCTAGCATCAGAATGATAGTTGGGTTCAGGTCGGATGAGAAAAAGAAATGCAAAAAAGTGAAATTGTTGTGGCACCCTTCCAGGATTCCTAGAAGTTGTTTAAAGATCGGATTTAACGAGAAGAGTTAGCGGAATAGCAAGAGGACGAGAGTATGTGAAGTCGGCAGAGATTGGAAGGCAATTAAAGAGGTTCAACAGCCGTTCGAACTAAAAACAGCAGTGAGAACGTCCAATCATGAAACTGGCGAGATGTGAAAGCCGAAGAAGATCCACCAACTAGTCCCGAATAAGCTGCAAACACACCACTTGCACAAGAACAAAAGATACAACACTCTATTAATTAGAAAATAGAGAAAATAAATCTCCAATAATATAAAACAAACAAAAAGTTCACAAAGCTAAGCTTTAAATAATATATTTATACTAGGATAGAAATAAAAACACCATTATAACTCAGCATAAGACTAATAGAGCCCTTTCAAAGCCCGTGTTATTTTCAGAAAATGTCCTGCTATTGATCTCTCGGGACGAGAATTCTCATCCCTCACATACGTCCCACCTGAGCGAAGATGCTTCCAAGTAGCTCTACCCTAGAAGAAGAGGCTTCACCTTCTTTTCTGGAAGCTTTTAAATCCTCATAGTATGGCAATAAGTCAGTTAGTTAAAAGTGGACAAAATAGTGTAGTCTTTCGACAATCAATGTTATATGCATAACTTCTCAACAATTCGGAATGAACGGTCAGCTCTAGGCTTGAGCTTTCCAAAACAACCTGCGTTAAATCACTCCTTAAGTCCAATTCACACCAAATCAACTTTCTTGAGACCATAGCATTCCTAGACTTGTTAGCATGTTCTAATACTTAGTGTCCTGTTTTGTAATTTCCATCATCATTTGCTCATGTAAAGTCTAAATTTGTCTGACACTAGATTCAACATCAGTGTTTTGCTCAGTAGTGGGGAGTATTGATATTAGTTTCATAGTGTAGGAGGGTTCTGCCCATATATAATCTCACAAGGGTTGTGGCAGGTGAACTAATTGGTGAAACAATTATAAGTAAACTCAGCTTGGGGAAGGATCAATTTCACTGTTTGATATTTTTGCTCATAAAGTACTTGAGTAGCTTTGCTTGCATGATGATTCACAACTTCTGTCTATCCATCCACCGTCTAAGGATGAGCTGTTGAACTTAATGAGCTTTGTATTAAACTTACTCCATATAGTCCTCCATAAATGACTCAAAAACTTCACGCCCTTGTCTGACGTGATAGTCTAGGTTATGTCATGGAGACAAAATATCCCTATGAAATATAAGTCCGCAATATGTAAAGCATCAATCATCTTATGACAAGATATAAAATGTACCATCTTCGAGAAGCCATCCGTTGCCACTATAATTGAATTCTTACTTTGTTGGGTTCATGGTGGACCCGCAACAAATTATAAACTCATATCAACCCGATGCAACTTTGAAATAGATAATGGCATATAAAGACTTGTATTATGCCCTCAAATCTTAACTAGATATGTCTTGTACTGCTTGACACGCCTCTCCACATCTCGTAACAATATAAGTCATTAGAAATTCTTTTTAACCAAGGAAAAAATAGCCTCTTCCAAAACATTCAAACATTCCTCCATTGTGATAAACTTATAAAATATGATCCATAAGTGAACTATTAGAACATGTTCTTAAAGAATAGGTAACCATTAGATCTATGATACTGGTCACATAGTCTATTCTGACAACGAGTAACACAAAAGTGCTCAAAAACAACAGCAAAGCCTTAATCCCACTACGTGTGGTTGGCTACATGAATCCTTTTTCTCCATTGTGTCATATTTAGTGTCATATTTTCATTTAATTCTAGTAAATTAAGATCATTTTTAATACAATAAGCCCAAGTTTTCCTAGGTCTACCTCTACCTTTCTTAACAAAAGTGCTCAATGTATCTAAATCTCCTAAAAGGCCTCATCATTACCACAAATCCTTCAATGCTTCAAAATCAACTACCATAAACTGCATGGTATTACTATCAAGTAACGAATGTTCAACGCATCTTTAACCTTATTCTGAATCCCATCTTTGTCCATGAGCACGAAATGAGAAGTAAAGAGAAACTCTACATAAGAGGTATGTCTATCTTTCAATTTGTTTCAACTAAATCAAGAATCTCAAGACCCTCATAATCGCTGTAAAATGTTAACTCTTACTAGCAAATAATAACTCTAGCGTTAGAAAACTTTCACAAGGTGTAAAACTCCTTATTACTTGCTCTGTCGACTCATTTAACTTCTCACTAAAAAAGATAAAAGAGTGTCTACCATGCCTCAATGCAACTGCAATTCGCACAATGGAGACACTCTCGCCACCTCTAAAAGGTGATTAAAAGTGCCACAAATGCTTGAATAACCTATTTTCAAGGTGTCAAAACTAGCTCGTGCCTTCGTCAAGGGTGCAGCAATAGTTGAAATTTCTGATAAATCTCCTAAAAAAAAATAGTCAAATAGAAATAGCTTGCCTAGGTGAATGAGTGCAAGCAGGGCTAATTCACAACAACCTCAATTTTAGTGGGGTCCACCTCAATTCCAACATATTATTGGCATCAATTTTTTGATATCATAGGTGTAGGGTGTCTACCTTTGATCGACGAAAATTAGTTATCGAGCCACGCACGAATTTGACTCGAATTGACCTGAGCACCAGCGAGCTTGTTCAGATTACCCCGAATGACGAAACGTACGACGCGAGTAAGTTCGGAACGTCGATTCTATTTGAAAAAGACGCTCGTTGCACCACGATTTCGCATGCAAGCTTAAAATATGCGAATTATCATTTTTTGACTTGATAGTTGAAAAAGTTGTCCGAAACAATCTAAAATGACGAAACGGACTGCGCGGTCGAGTCCGGGACGTCGATTTTTCCTAGGGGAGACCCTCGTTGTATTGCGAGGACGTGTTCGGCGAAATTGTGCGGAGAGCTTGTAGGGATGATAACATTATTAATATAATAATAATAATAATAATAATAATAATAATAATAATAATAAAAGCCTCTCTCTCTCTCTCTTATCAACCCACGCCTCATATATATATATATATATATATATACAAACAGATTTTTGCAAAAAAGCCCTTAATCCCTCCTCTCTCCTGGTTAAAAAAAAGAAAAGCATCGCAACCGCTCTGGATGGCGAGCCGCTCCGCTCCTCCCTGCCGATTCGCGAAAATCCCTTCTCCCGCTTCTCCTATTTTCGCGACAGAAGGTTGCCTCCCATTCGCACCTGCGATTCGCCTCCTTCAGATCGATTCGCAAAGCCTTCTCCTCCGTCACCGATCCTTCTCCATCTCCTGCTGCTCCTGCTTCTTCTTCTTCTTCTTATTCTTCTTCTTCTATTTCTTCTTCTCTTGCTTCTTCTTCTCCGATTTCTTCTTCTTTTATTTCTTTTTCTTTTTCTTCTCCTAATTTTTTTTTCTTTTTCTTCTTTCTTCTTCCTCTTCTTCTTCTTTTTCTCAGCCAACCCTGCCAGCCTTGCCATTTTACCTTCCCGGTGGCAGGATACTTCGCCTGAGCACATCGACATCGCCGGACAGCGAGCGTTGCTGCTGTTCAAGGAGGTGCGTGCGCCTTCTACCTCGTGGGTTACCTTCCGTCGTCATCGAGCAACCTCTCTCGCGAAGGTACCTTTTTTTGGTGTCGCATATTTTTATATGCTAAATTATTTATTTTCAGGTACTTCGCATACCTCACTGATCCCTTCCTCTCTTGCTCTTATTGGCTTTTGCCTTGCTCTTATTGGCTTTGTTTTTCTCATGTGCGCGTTTTACGAGGCACACTGGAGCATGGATCGGATGTCGGCGAGCTTGGCGCAAGAAAAGAGAACGCGTCCGCAACCGTTACGGTAGTGAGATTCTCTAACTCCTAGTTGGCTTTAGTTTTTAGCGGTGTCTAGGCGTGTGGGTTCGATCGCCCACACGGGGTGCGTGCGTCGACATGGGTCGGCGTGACGACGTGCCTGCGTGATGGATAGTCGATTTCCTAGAGCTAGCTTTTAGGTTAGGACTTCCTATGCGTAATCAAACACCCCCGTAGAGCCGAGTGTCTCCCTTTTGTTGTGAGCCTTAGCACAAGTCCCGATTATGTGAGCCTTAGCACAAGTCCCGATGGGTCGGAGTCACTCACTCCCCTTGTTTTGGTTTTTCCCAGCTTTACTTGGAGAAGCTAGGAGGTCGGACTTGGCAAAGCGAGAGAAGCTTCGTAGTTGGCTTGCTTTGCAAAGTCTGAAGAAGTTCGCGAAATGGGGAAAGCTTTGTAGCTAGCACATTTCGTGACGCCGTGGAGAGTTTTTCTTTCGGAGATCCTGGGAAAAAACTCCTCACATTCCTATACCAAATCTGGAGGCGGCGATGCTGCATATCCAAGG